CTTGGCAATGGCAAGTCCTGCTTTATTTATTTTATTCTTTTTTTTCAGTATAAAGGTTGCTATTTCAGGAGCTGCACAAAGGTTTTGTCGGTGTGGAGCCTGACAGGGGGGACCTAACAGGATTAGGAGACTGAAATTTCATGCAGCTGGGGGTTCTGCTTCACCGAGAAAGTAATCTGTGCTACGAACACCGCAGCGGCTTGGGGAGGCTCGGAGGAACACAAATGTGGTCGGAGGGGTGGGATTTGAGGAGGGGTTGGTGTCTGAAAGAGATGTGGTGATAACCCAGAGTGACCAAGTGATGACTGGTAGGAAACACTGGGAAAATGAACTTGTTGAAATGTGTTCTCCAAAATGGGGGTTAGTGGGCTGGTGTCAGGTGACAACCCATCATTTTGGGTTAAATATTAAATCTATAAGTATTAAAATGGTTACTCAGTGCTCTTTTGGGTAGGAGGTTGGGGTCAGTCATCTCTTACATGCACTGTCAAGGTGAGATTTAGACTTTCTCTGGTAGAGCTTGATATAGCTAAAGTAAAACCTGTTTAAATTTGGCATTGGAGAGTAGTGAAATGTTTATGAACACCAGTAAAGCTGGCTTGCTCAGGTTGTTTCTCAGCATAAAAACTTCTGTGAGCTTTTAGATTTTTTTTTGGTAGCTGTATTGCTTTCTTTGTTGTTTTTTTCCAGTATTTTCAGCCTTATGTTGGATTTATTTGCATTTATTGTGGATGGACTCTGGACATTGAAAACATCCATCGTGCTGGTTTTAACCTAAGACTTGTAGGGTTGAGCTCCATGTGATGAAATGTGTAAATGTTACGTATCTAAAAGCTTAAAAAAAGGAATAGGAGACCTAAATTCCATAGATAAGTTGAAATGGATAGATTTAAAAATGCTTTTGAAAAAGAAAAATATATATATGTTGATGTTAAAGGACTGAAGTTACTGGAGCCGCCTGGGAGTTGGGTGGCTGATGGTTGGCTCGTGGTGGGATTCCCTGTGACATTAATCCCAAAGAGAAGTTGGTACAAGAGCCAATGAAATTATCTCATGAGGATGGCATCATAAAATGTTTATTAGCAAGATGCATGCCCATTTTGCCATGCAGGGGAGTACACAGGGACTTTGTTCAGAGCGTTGGTTCCCATCTTGGCTTCTTAATTCTGAATTGGTGCCACTCTGGGCATTGCCATCTCCAAGCTTTGCACCTTCAGATGATGAGGGTTAACTTCCCCTTGCCATTGATTCTGTAATATGGGTATTTTAAGTACACTTTCAATTTCCTTTCCCCCTACATCCAGGTATGGCGATACCACTTCCCAGAATCAGAGTTGTTGGCAGTTTCTTGGAGGAAGGAGCAAGTAGTGCTGCAGCCTTGACCAGAAATTCATGGCAATCTCCTGGAGTAAGTGAGAAACCCAGAGCATAACCTTTGCAGGGTGCTTGAGCCTCTTTAAGAAGGTTAAAAATGCTCTCAAGAGCTTTGCCAGTTCATCCAAACTAGGTTTTTTTTGGCGGGGGGGGACTGTGCTGGATTTTGGCTGGCAATGGAGAAGAGGTTCTGGGTCTCAGCTGAAGTGGTCACTGAGCTGGAATGGTCTTGGTCAGAATTCAGGAGAAAACCAGGTAAATTCACTTTTATACACAGAGCATGAGGGAATACCCCATAGTACAGCACTATTCTTTTATATCTTTAACTTAAGCATCTCTTTTTTAATGTTGGTTTATTCCTTTTTCTCATTATCCATAAATAACTTTGTCCAAAACCTTTCATTAGTTACATGAAGTTGTTTACATCCAAGTAAATGCTGCTTTCAAGAGCACACATTAGGAATAACTGCTTGAAAACCTCCAGACCATGCTGGGAGTAAAATCAGGGATCACAAATGAAACAAGAACCTCTTCAGACTTGTCTTATATTGGTCACTTAATAAATTAACTTGTAACTAATAACTATGGGAACTATGGGAGGAAACCACGGGGAAGATTCATTTGGTACAGGAGGGATTAAACCAAAATGCTCTAAATACAGCTTTTTTGCCCTATTTTCTGTTGTTCTTTTTCCTAATAAAACATCAGAGCAAGGAAAAGGGGATGGAGGAGCAGAGTCCCAGCACAGGGGTGGCACCGCAGCAAAGAGCAGGGCTGGCGACGGCAGCTTTGTACGGTATCAGACACCTCACACACCAGCTGAATATTTAAAACATTTATTTATACAAATGTACAGCATTTACAAGAGTTAAAAAAAACACCAACCAGGCATTTCAAAGCAATATCACATATATAGAGCCTAAAAAAATAAATACAGTGCAGCTCAGCTTTTATATGCTTTAAAAAAAAAAAACAACACCCCAAGAGGAGGATCCTATGTAGGTCTCAATCACCTCAATCTCTACCACCTTTGTGAGTGGAGAGCACTATCAGATACCCCAAAAAAAGTCTCTGGTCTGGCTGAGGGCCACCTAACAGGCTGCTCAGGGAGGTGATGGTGTCACCATCCTTAGAGGAGTCCAAAAAGTGTGTGGATGTGGCACTTGGGGACATGGTTTAGTGGCCATGGTGGGGTTGGGTTGATGATTAGATTTGATCTTAGAGGTCTCGTCCACCTGTAATGATTCTGTGGTTCTGTAAATATAGCTTGAAGGTGCTGTCAGTGCACACCATGGGCCAACTGGCACTGGGGCCCATGTGACCCCACTGCAGGCACCACATCTTTCACGTGGTGGGTCCTAAAAGTAAGTCCAACACCTCCTTATGAAGAAACGTGGCCATTCCCACAGCTCAGCCCACATGGTTATATAGCTCAGAGTTACCATACCACAGGTGAGCCTGGGTGAGTTTGGTTAAATAACAACAAAACTGCAAAATATATGGGAAATAGAGGGAGATGCATAGAGAGATGCCAGCAGAAACGTGGCTGCAAGTCATTGACCGAGGTAACATCTGCTTCTTGCTGCTTGTTAGGTACGTTATTGCCTGACTCCTCCATGTTTAGTGAGGCCCAAAGTGAAAATACAAACCCTGAAACCCCCCAGCTGAACTGCCACCACCAGTGTGTGAGCCCTGAGTCAGCAGGGAGCTCCCCACGAGCTGCTGCCCCGTGCAAGACAGCCCAAGGCTTGAGCCTGCCCTGGTTGAATGGGTAAGTGAGATGGTCCTTTGGTCCTTCCAGACCTAAACTCTTCCATTTTGCAGGATAATAATAATAAATAAATACTTAAATTGCTGTTGGAAAAGTCATAATGCCCTCCACCTCATTCTCCCCAACCCGTAAGTACCTGGCACAGCTCTGCTCAAAGGAGCTTGCAGAGAAGGTGGGGATAGGCTTTAGAAATACTACAGGGGTGATTTCTTTGGGTTCTGTTTTATAGGGTCTACTAGAGGCAGGTCTAACTTGCATAAAATAACAGATTGCAGCTACCCTCTTGATACCAGTGATCTGTGAGCAAGTCATTGGAGAACTGAGAAGATGCCAAAATGCAAGGTTTGTCCATGAGCAAGGCCACCTAGTCCATCTTCAAAATTATTAGTTTTATGTAAAAAGTTAAAAAGAGGAAAGAAACAACATTTAAAGTTCAATTTTCACAATGTATATATACATTTTTGATAACATCACCCAGCAAAGCTTCACTGATGCTTCCAGGCTGCTTTCCTTCCCCAGATAAACCACCTGAAATGAAGTAATGAGCAAGCGCAGCTCTAGGTTTGGCCACAAAACCCAAGAAATACACTTAAAGCTGCAGTTTTCCAGCTCTTAATGGTACCCAGCACAGATGCTGTTGATGGGGGCTTGCTGGTACCCTCCAGGAGCACTGGAGGTGCTCACAAAGCATCTGGATCCCAGCGTTGGCTTCCTTCATCTGCCTTTCCCTGTAAAACTCACCAAAAAAAACCCACTTCAGAGGATCACATACTGCAACTTGATAAAGCACAGTTACCTTGGAGCACGACTAGCCCAAAATTGACTCATAAAAGAACAATTTATGACTATTTAAAAAAAAACCAAAACCAAACAACCCACTAGATTAATTATTTCAAAAGTTTGGTTTAACTTTAAAACAAGTCTATGGACACCTTGCTTTTGTCACTGACCCTGCAAAACAAAGCTGATTCTTTTTCAGTAGTGATGCAAAGCCTTATATATATTTTTTTTTATGGTAATTTACATATTATAGGCTTACACACTTGCAAAACAACCATTTTTCCTGGCAATACCAGTGTTAAGAATCTCTTAAACACTTTAGATCCTACTCAACACACACAAATAAATATTGCATACATGATTTCCAAGCAAAACGAGTCACCAAAATAGAGCTGTAGCTAGTGATGGTCCATACTCCATAGTGATAGTGCATTGTAACAAGATATTCAGGATCAGCTTGGTCTGGGTGCCAAAATACGGAGTTTTTGGAGGTTTTTCTGGTTCATTTTGTAAACCAAAGTGATTTTGTCGATCCCAGTGGGGGGTGTTATGGAGGTGGCTCTTCATGCTGCTGGTGGACAACCTCAGAGGAAGCATCTCAGTGCGATGCTGGCCTGTCCAAGCTGCTGCTCCATTGACCTCGTCCCCTCCAGCCTTGGTACCAACTCCGAGAGGAGCAGGAGATGTGGGGAGATGGCAAAGAAACATCAACTACTTATTATTTCCCATATGGTCTCAGAACAGGTTAATGAGACACTGGAGTTAGTGCTCTGACAAATTATAGCAGGAAAGTTTCAACCGAGTGAGTGATGAGAGTAGCTTTAAGTAATATTTCTTCACTGAGAAACAACGGACATTGAGAGAAGTTGTAGGCATCCCACGTGGGTTTTGGGAATGTTTTGCATGAGTTTCTTCTTGAAAATGGTAGAGAAACGTGATGGTTGCACCCCCTTCGAATGCATCTGCGTCCCAGCCTCATTAGTTCATCATTAACAAGAAATCAGGAGGAAAATTGTCTTTCAAAGACAACTCCATTGGGCGATGGTGACCGTCCACGTGGGTGTCCTCACCCCATTCAGCTGCCAGGACCCACGTGTGGCAGCGTGGCCCAGCGCTGCGCCACCAGCCCCAGGCAGAGACAAGCGGTGGTCAGCAGGGCGGGCTGGGGAAGGTGCGGGGCGCTGCTGAGGGGGGACAGGGTGGTGAACACGGCCTCGCTGGCGTTCTTGGGCAGGGGCAGGTTGCAGATGCTGCCCTCGCAGCAGGAGGTGCAGAGCTGAAAGAGACCAGGTTATCACTTGGTTATTTGAGAAACAGCCATAATCATAAAGGCATAGGAGAACTAATGTGACATTTGCAAGGGAGAACAGCAGCCAGCCTGATTTTTGTCCCCCTTTTCTTTTTAATTTTTAAAAATCCATCTCATGGAGACCAAGTAGATCCATCTCATTTCCATTAATCCATCTAAATTCCATTAATCCATCTAATTTCACCCATACAGGAACAGCACATTGGCTAACGCAAAGAGGACACATCCATTTTCAAGAGGTATTGAACTTCTTTACCTTAAATAAGTAAACTGATGCAAACCAGTGTGACTTGGTTGAAGTAGAGCTCACAGGTCAGAACTGAAAGAAATCAGTATTCATTTGTACAGGGGTTTTTTTTTTGCCACCTATCTCTTAGTTTGACACAACTCCTGTGTTAGCCCATAGGGACACACAGCTCTGATTTCTCAGGATTAAGAGGGGTCACAGGGCACAGAGATGCAGAGCAACAAAACTAATGCACTCGAGGCCAAAACAAAAGCATAAAATTATGAGTAAATTATGTAGTTACGAGTAAAACAGAGCTGGGGCTGTAGTGTGCCTGGCAGCTCAGAAAGCTCTTTATTTTAACCCATTGGAGACATTCAAGAAGGTCGACCATCGACCTTCAGAAAAATATCTTTTATAACTAACTGTTTGATTCAGATATAAAGTGTTAGCTCCAAAGGTCTGGAGGGAGTGGTTTTCCTCCCCTGAGCTACAGGCAGGAGAGTTATTTAAAGAGATTATTATTTCATCCTGGGAGAGGTTATTCCCATGTTTCTGTAACAAATGGAAATGAGTTGGAGCTCTTTAAGAGGAGAAACCTCATTTTTTGCTATGTTGATCTACCCACTGAACCAGTCAGACCTCTGGCAGAGGCCAAAAGGATTCTTCCCAGTTTTCATCTTAAAAAAACAGGCAGATTTTATCCGATACCTTGTACTCTTCATGCTTTACATATGTGCATCCCGTAGACAGACAGTCCTCCAGCGGCACACAGCGTTTGGTGACGGATACGCTTTCTCCAGTAGCTTTCATCAGGTGTTGGCTAAAGCAATACCTTGTACCTAGAAAGACAGAAAGAAATGCGTTTATCTGTCAAACTCGAGTCTTGTGATGGGCTACAAATAGGGAGAAATAGGAAAGAGAACTCAGATTTTTTTCAAAAACTGATAATTTTATAGGAATTATCTTTACTAATACAAAACATTCACAATACCTGTTCATGTCTGAAGTTAATTTCCATTTGTTTAGGTTTAATCTCTTCCTAGCTTTGTATACAACCATTAGTTCTGTATAATTACCTAAAGCATTACATGTTGGAGACACCTTTCCCTATATCCTAACAACCATGCAAGTTGTCCTCACTGCTCGCACTCCGATCCTTCACCCTCTCTCTCATCATCTTTTATAGATATTATTATTACTTTATATCATGGCAGAACACTTGGGAGGATTTTTGTGTGTCTCGGTATCCCAAACTTTGGAAAAAAGCCCCATAAAATGGGCTGTCCCCCTCATAATCCCCCCGCACCTTCTGCACCCATTGGGTTCCCTCAACCCAATTGCAGACCATCTTCCTCCTCCGTTTTTAAGCTATTTCTCCAGTGACATTTGTAAAACACCCAGAAAACTCCAAGCAGGATGACTGACAAAGGCTGTGGTTTCCCTCAGGCACAAAGGAATTTGGGTTTATTTCATGCCTTAGTCACCAGAGGGAAGCTGAAGGTGCTGTCAGCATCCCAGCGCTCCAAGATGAAAACGCTGGATTTCCAACACAGGAAATATTTTTCTATATATGATATATTTCTTCTCTAAATTACACCTTGCTTCTTATAGATCAAATTCATTATTAATAAAATTGTTGCTTTCACAGAAGCATCATTAATTTAAAGTGACCATTCCTATTCAGCTCTCATCTCCAATGCCCAAAGCCCTGTGTACTTGTCATGTTTTAGGCATTTGGCAGCATCCAAGCGCGTTATCCACGGGGCAATAAAACCCCTCAGATGCCTGTTGTATCTTTGACCTGCTCTTAACTGGAGCTGATACCCGCAGCACACAGATTTAACTTATCACCAGCTGGAGACGCTTGGTGTCCTGGCTTCCCTCAAACCATCCAGGGCTCCAACGTGTGGCTTTTGATGCCTTTTCCAGGCATTCCCCTGCCCTAAGGGGTGAAGCTCACAGTTTTATCCCCCTGTGCGATGGCTTTTAGCTCCTGCCAGGACCTTGCGACTCTTTTAGGGCCATTTCAATCTTTCTTCCAAGTGTGTTTTTAGAAAATATTGTGCAATCATCTTGGAAATAGGCATTTTCCCCTCCACAGAGGGACCAAGCGTGCTTCTCCTTGTACACCATCAATGATGGCACTCTCTCCAAAGTAGGGATGAAGCCCACATTAAGCCACAAAATCCACTCACACGGATCAATATTAACACTGGGAGAACCCAGAGCAAAGCAGAGGTGGGGAATCACAAAATGTGAGGAGTAGGAAGGGACCTGGAAAGCTCCCCCAGTGCACCCCCTGCCACAGCAGGAGCACCAGAGCAGTCACACAGGAACACGGCCAGGGCTTTGGGTGTCTCCACACAAGGACACTCCACAACCTCTCTGGGCAGCCTGGGCCATGCTCCAGAACCCTCACACTCACAAAGTTTGGCCTCATCTTCAGCTTGAACCTCCTGTGCTCCAGCTTGGGACCATTGCCCCTTGTCCTGGCATTGGACATCCCAGAGCAGAGCCTGGCTCCTTCCTCCTGACACTGCCCTTTCCCAGTGGATCCCCAGGAATGAGGGCACCCCTCAGTCTCCTCTGCTCCAAGCTCAAGAGCCCCAGCTCCCTCAGCCGCTCCTCAGCAGGAGATGCTCCACTCCCTCCAGCATCTTGTGGGAACATTGCCATGGTGGGGTACAGTAACTGCTCTGCAGATAGGGAGGCTGGAGGGGTGGAAGAGGGACTCCAAGCTCAAGAATGCAAGCTTAATGCTATAAAAAACTTATCAACAGTAACAGAGACATTCATAATGATGTTATTCAGGCTGTCCAGCAACACATTCCATCAGAAAAGCATTTGAAAATGGGATTATTCAAGGGATTTTTTTTGGGGTGGCTGTTAATTTATGCTGACCCCCCAGTGTAACAGAATACACCATCACCTCTTTTTTTTTGCATTTTCCCTTCCTCCGGTGGATCTGTCTTGCAAAGAGTGCACGACTTGCAAAAACTGGACAATGTGCTACAGCTACGAGGTACCTCCAAACACCGATAGACAACAGAGAGCCCTGGCCTTGGTGACACTGACCTACAGCAGCATCACCCAACGGCTGAAGCACACGTCCTGCATGGGTTCCACCTCATGAGCACCCTCCTGTACCCTTAAAGGCAGCATGAATGAAGAAACCAGCGACTGAAACCCAAGGCTTGGTGCAGACAGACAGGGTAAGTGCAAGTAAACCAGCCCTGCAAGGCTCTTCAGTAGGAGAAAGTTGTCCTCTCTGCTTTAAACTGGGTAAGGAAACACTAAATCTGGTATTTCAAAGGACCAAGTTGAGTTTTCAGAGCCCGTTTCCCAAACCACAGCCTCTGACAGTGATTTTGGGTGGCACCTGCAGCAGCTGGAGCATCCCTGTGGTGGTGGTGGCCATCATAGGGATGTCAGGCAGCCCACAGGCCGTCCAAAACCAGAGTGCCAGGAGTGGTTTGAGTGCAGCATTTCCATGCGAATTAGATCACTAACACAGTTTCTGCTTGAGCTGAGGCTCATAAATAGCAGAAAACAAGGTTAATGCACAGCAGGAGGCCTTGCCTTCTAGGAAAGGCTTTTTCTACTCTCTGTTCAATGCAGGAATTCATCTTTTTACTCTCCATTATCATGAATTTTACTACACAAATGTGGTTCATTTTAAGTCCTGCATAATGGTTAATTAAAATATTTTAGTTTGCTTGGTTTTAATAGCATTTTGTCTTAAAAAAAGCAAATAGCAGGATGGAGTTTTCTCATTTTCTGCCACCACTTAACCCAAGCGAATCAACACGGGTTCGGATCACTGCAGCAAGGGAGGCGATGCCGCAAGCGCACCCCTGGCTCGCAGAGATAAGGCAATTACCTGAGCAGATAACCCCGGAGTCGTGCCTCACCCCGAGGCTGCATTTCTGCAGCTTCCTTACATGGACTCAAAATCACCTTGGAAAATTAAAGCGACACAGAGAAAAAGCTGCCTTAAAGCTTTCTGCTGTGGAAGTGCGTTGGATGGGAAGCTGAGAGATGCCAACAACAGCCATAAGAAACCTTTGAGTAACACATTATCAAATCCCTGCATTTTAAGGAGATAAGAAGTCCTCTGTGCTGCAGATTAAAGATGGACTCGGATTTCCAACTGGCCCCTTCTCATGGGGATGGATGAACATAGCTGATCACAGAATCCCAGAATGTGAGGAGTTGGAAGGGACCTGGAAAGCTCCCCCAGTGCAACCCCTGCCACAGCAGGAGCACCAGAGCAGTCACACAGGAACACGGCCAGGGCTTTGGGTGTCTCCACACAAGGAGACTCCACAACCTCTCTGGGCAGCCTGGGCCATGCTCCAGAACCCTCACACTCACAAACTTTGGCCTCATCTTCAGCTTGAACCTCCTGTGCTCCAGCTTGGGACCACTGCCCCTTGTCCTGGCATTGGCCATCCCAGAGCAGAGCCTGGCTCCTTCTTCCTGACACTGCCCTTTCCAAATGGATCCCCAGGAATGAGGGCACCCCTCAGTCTCCTCTGCTCCAAGCTCAAGAGCCCCAGCTCCCTCAGCCGCTCCTCAGCAGGAGATGCTCCACTCCCTCCAGCATCTCATCTCTGTGGCCCTACTCGACTCTTTCAAGCAGTTCCTGTCCTTGAGCTGAGGGCCCAGCACTGGGCACAAGATTGCAGCTGTGGTGTGAGCAGGGCAGAGTAGAATTGAATATTGAAAATATTGGAATTCAAAATATTGAAGGTATCTTGATATCAGCTGAAGAGGCCATCTCAGCTGCCCCAAAACGTAGGCTTGTGCCATAGGGGAGGTAAGCGAACAAAGAACCAGTCCCATACTCACCAATAAGAGAAACACAACCCCTAAATAAATGTCAGCCTGATTTAATTTCCAGCTGAGCTAGAGGAGAACAAGGAGCAGATGAAAGCCCTAAACTTCATCCACTATGGAGACAGAAAAGCTTAAAGGATTACTCGTATCGCTTACACATCTTTCTTGTCGAGGAGGCTTTACAAGCCGGAGCAGCGATCGCCAGCATCCGAGTACGCCCAGGGAATAATGGGGGCTCAGTGCTGTCCCTGCGGCGGGGACAGCGAGCGGTTGTTCAAATTAAACGTGGGTTTAAATTAAACGCTAGCACGCGGCCGGTTACCTCTTGGACAATAGACATCCGGAGCCCATCGGTTGCATTCGTAATTATCCGCTGCCTTTTCGCAGGTGAAACATTTAAATCCATGCGGATACGGCGTGGCTGAAAGGAACAGACCATATTCAGTTGAAATGAGCCAATTAATCCGCTTCTATTAGACTTTTCAGAGGGACACAGCAGCATTTGTTCTTTTTCAGACATCTCTTTCTACATGTGTACCTGTCAAATTCATCAAGGTGGACCCGATTTGTAAAAACCCTATCACCAACAGCAAAGGAAAGGCACATAAAGGTACAATGAGGACTCAGTTCAGCCCTGTTTACCCAGAAAAAATGCCCAACGCTGGCTCCAAAGGGAGTTAGTGTGAGCAAGGAGCAATTATTCTCTTGCTATCGGAGCTCACATCCAATACCGCTACTTTATCAGCTCTGATAACAAATTATCAGATGGATTAAAATGCTTCTGGAAACTGTGCCACCGAGGAAAAGAGCTGCTCCTTTTGAAGGCAGGCTGATGGCCCCAAAGGAAAGGAAAATCAATTTGCTGAGCCTCCAGTTTTTCACAGCAGGCTCCGTCCTGATTTATCTCGCCAAATAAAGAGCGTAACTTCTTAAGTGGTCTCCTGGCAGGGCTTCTGTAGCACTTTCAATACATCTTCAAGATGCTGCCACCTTCTCAGAAGCCAAACAGGTCACGTTTATCTCCATGGGGTGAAGTAAGCTGAGCCTCCAGAGCCTCACAGGACACCTCTCACCTCTCCCTCCTCTTCACCTCCTCCCCTTGGTGTGGGACAGACCCATTTGGGTACCAGCGGTGGGGCAAGAAGCATTTGCTGCTTGTTTGCCCAGGCTACTCTGGGTAAGGGCCACCAGGTCACCCAGAAGCATCTCTGGTGGGACTGGAGCTGCCCTCAAGGAGCAGCTTGGGGTGGGACAACACAACACAGACTCACAGCACAGTTTGGGTTGGAAGGGACCTTAAATATCACCTATTTCCACCCCCCATGGGCAGGGACACCTCCACCAGCCCAGGCTGCTCCAGGCCCCGTCCAACCCAGCCTTGGGCACTGCCAGGGAGGGGGTACCCACAGCTTCTCTGGGCAACCTGGGCCAGGGCCTCACCACCCTCAATGCGCGTTCGCCCCCGTCCTTACCCCCGCGCCGCAGCCGGCCGTGGCTTTGCGGCCCGCGCGAAGGTGGCTTACTGGAGGGGTGGAGGTAGACGATGTCCTTCACAGTGAAGTCCTTGGGCTGCACGGCCGGCAGGCAGGTGGCCACCACGCTGAGGAGCAGCAGCCACGTGGGCTGCGAGGCCATCGCCGGGCGAGGACGTACTCATGCGGCAGCCGAAAAGCCTCACCTGCAATAGCAGAGAATGGGGTGAGCAGAGAAAACCCATCAGGAGCCCGGCCACCACCTCAGTCCCCAGCAACCCAACCTCCCCAAACCCACATCAAGTGATTATTGTATTTCCCTTATCTGTGCTCCAAAGGGTCTTATTGCCATGGCCCTGGTTGAAGGGGATTAATATAAGCAAAAACAAATACCCGGTGCAGTGCCACTTGTGAAGCCATCCTAAAACCAGCAGCTTTAAGGAGCACCCCAATCCCCATGCTCAGGCTGTGGCGAGCCCTCCAGGAACAGACAACACTAATGAGTTGTTAAATACACAGCTTGAATTATCACAATTCCTTAAAAATGATGAAAATGGACCTCAAATACCCAGTGAAACAGGCAAAACCTCACAAGGATGCGGCTGCTGAGCCAGGCAGGAGCCACCAGTTTCCCCT